AGCATGCATATAACCAGCATTAACCAAGGGGCCATGCCACTTTTCACATCTTCTGCATATTCTCCACAAGCTAGACCAAGGAAGGTTAAAGGGAATGAGTACAGCCACCATGTAACGTTCAACCTCTTCATCGATTTCTTGAACAGGGCTGGTCTGCAAGCCTGCATCCAAGAACAAAGTTTGACTCCTTGATTAGAATCAAACAGGTTAAAACGATAAAAACTGACAAGTTAAACTGGTAGAATATTGGAATCAGACAAGTACCTGAGACATAAAAAGGAATAAGGACAGAAAGAGGAGCATCTTTGATGGGGTGACAAAACCACCTAGGATGGATTTCCAGGCTAAACTTGCCATGCTTGGTGCAGCAAAAAACAAGAAGTAAGCTGGCCTTAGCACTTTGGGAAACTGGTTTCCATTTTTCTGACGCTGATATAGAGTTATGAATATAACCAAATAGAATACCGATCCGATCGAGAACATTACCGCTGCACTCTCTTTCCAACCGATTTCTGCAATAACTCGAGCAGACACCAAGTTCCCTATAACCGAAACCTGGCTGGTAGGGTTTGCCACAATCGACAGAAACCTCCTTTTAGTTGTGAACCATTGTCCATAAAGTTTAATATCAATGAACAATATCACACAGGAAAAAGCCAGGCAAAGAGCTCGGTAATAGCAATTTGTATGAAGAATCATGGGTGCTGATTGAAGCATGAGAAGCCAAGAAATCCAAGGAGCGTACATGCAGTTCACTCCAATATAGTGTGAGAACTCCTCTTTCACAACATCAAAGTGAAAGATGCACTTGAGGACGTAAAGTAAAGATAAAGTAGTGGCAACGAACAGTGCAACGCACCAAAGTAGTAGAAATGCAAAGGAAGGCATGAAATTGAATCCGTGCCAAAGAGAGTTTGAGTCCTTGTTGTGTTTACTCAAACTTTTCCACAGCAAAGCTTGTGCACCAAAAGAAAGGCATATGAAAAAGTAACCAACATGGATCTTGGTCAAGATCGGTAACCGTGAATGTGATGGCTTGGTGATCTCGCTTGGGAGGGCGCAGTTGTTTGTATTGTTCATGGAACCACCTTCGATTTCATCAACTGCTGCCTTCATGTTTCTATGTCACTGATTTTGGAATGTAACATGTCTCACTCACTTCCAGGTCCAGGGATTATATAGTGCAAGGATCACAAATAAACTCTCATCAATGCATGCTGTCTGAACATTTTATAAATTAATTAGTATGGATAAGCAGTGTTACCTTTCATTTCCTCATACTTTTTCTAATTATTAATGTATTTATCTTTTATTTAATCTTTTTTCAAAATTTATATTTTTATAATATTTTTACCATTTGAGATTAAAGAAATGAAAAAATATATATATATCGTTTCAATATCATAATCTTGATAATATCTTGTTTTATAGATTTTAGGTAGAAGAAAAAGAATTTTTTTCTCAAAACCCACTTTACATCCATTAGTGCTAAGTTGAAGTGTTTCCAATTTTGGAGTGGTAAGATAATTAATATTTTAATGAGACAAAAACAAAACTCAGGAAGGTCATGATACGTATGCATTCAAATTAAGTAGGTCTTAAGTCATACTTTACCTAAAAATGTTCACTTGCTTTTAAAGGGTCTTGCTTTTACAACAGCCGAAATCTTATTGTAGTTATTTTGTCAGAAAATAAAAAGTTATGTGGTCATGAATTTATAAAAGCTTTCATTTTGTAACTCGCATAAAATGGCTGAAGGAAAAACAAAAGAAGGAAGGGAGTAAATCTTAAGTTAGATTTTTCTTTTTCTTAATACATATAACTTTGATGGAAATACTGGGGCTAGTGGAGAAAGCTAGATTCTTATCCTAACCATACAGCATATAACATTTAAAATTCCTAATCACATGTCACTACATTGTGCATATTATCACGCATTTTAGCCTTCTATATTTGCATAACCCTTTTCATTGTAACAATAGTGCTTCATAATATTAGTAGCCATTTTTTCATGTTCAAATCTACTAATAATTCCCAACACACTTTTAGGTGCATTACTTTAGTGGCAAAGAGTACGAAAGACATAAGAAATTAGACCAATTTGGTGTTTAAATACTATTTAATATGATTCATGAGGTAGTGTGTTAAAGAGGATCTTTACAGATTATAACGAATAGATAGCAAGATGGATAGTGGGAACCAACTAGCCATCTTGCAAGAGATAAATTATGTACCCAACCATTAGTGGGGATTTGACTAAAATTATAAAACAAATGTGCCTTTTTATCTGTTTCACTTTCGATAACTTGTCAAAAAAATTATATACAAAATCTTTTGCTACTTTACCTCACCAGTGGATTCCAATTGTTGTCTTTCAAAAATGAATATGAGCCTTTCATGCTCCCAAGAGGGTACTTGAAAAGCTTAATTACAACGGAAAGAAATAATTAAAATTAAAATTCACTGGCTTAATTATAATATCTGTTTATTCCTGAGTAATTTAATAATAATTAAAGTTTAAAAGCAATAATTTTGCTTTAAATTTAATGAAAGAGGATGGACGGTAAAAGAAAGCAGACATATCAAAAGCATCCAAATGCATGTGCTTTGAAAAGGTTTGATTTGTTAGACTGAACATGAACGTATATAGATAAAAAAAAATACTTTTTTATCGTACACTAACTTGCCCGTTGAGTGATATTGAAGCACATGAATAATACATAAGAATTAGTCCAGTTACATTAAAATTTTGTGCTGTATTTTGTTTGTTACTTAATGCAACACAAGTAATTTGATATACTTACACACACTACTTCGATTTTCAGGTATTTTCTTACCATTAACATATTATTAAATAAGATAATGATACTTTGACAACATTTTTTTGACAACATTTTAACATCATCTACGTGTCGTGTCATTTTGTGATTAGTCCAAAATTACTTCACAATCAATAATAATAATCGTAAACACCAACATGGACCAATCACATAATGACAAGTAGACGGTGTTAAAATATTGTTAAAAAAATGTTGTGAAAGTATCATTATTCTATTAAATATGTATAATTTGCATACAAAATAGTATTTGTATTAAAAATTATAATTTATAATAACTCATAAACTTTTATTTATAATAATACTAATATATAATAGATGTAATCTATATTTATAATATTATTAAATGAGAACTTAAGCATAGAACACAATCATTATGCCTTATCTAAATTATTGTTAGTGTTGTTGTTGATGATTATTATGAATATATATGCATTGTCCTAATATATAAAATTAGTAAAAATTTATAATTAACTAAAAAAAACTAAGAAAGTTTTTGTTCATCAACTCACAATCAATTTGACATGATCTGAACCAACCTAACCTAGATTTAGTCAACTTGAACCCATCTCAATCAATTTGACATAGTTTTGACATGAGGTACTCATCTTAATCTAAGTTGGACACAACATAATCTAAATTAAACTCAATTTAACTTTGTCTAACCTAAATTTGTCTCAGTTAGCTTAACATAATGTATCTAATTGTAGTCTAACTTAATCTATATCTGAGCAATTTTATTCATATGGTCTTGATTTGAATTTAGGTTAAGTAAATATTTTTTTAAGTATAAAGATTTCTTCGAGTAATTATTGTTTCTTTTTATTGCTAAATAATTATTGGTTTAATTGCTTCCTTTGTCCCCAGTTTGGTTGAATTGTGTCAAATTCATCCTCATTTTTAAAAAAGTTTCATTGTCGTCCTCACGTGGTATAAAAGTGTCAATTGAATCCAAACATAGAAAAAATTTGTGTCAAAGTAGTCATTTTTCCTATATATCTGTGTCTTCCTTTCATATGTCACTTCTCTGGAGCTATGAAAAGCCTTAAATTGGATAAGGTAAAATGAATATCTGTACTTGATTGTATGAAAGGAAGACACAGAGATATAGGAAAAATGACTACTTTGACACAAATTTTTTCTATGTTTGGATTCAATTGACACTTTTACACCACGTGAGGACGACAATGAAACTTTTACACCACGTGAGGACGACAATGAAACTTTTTAAAAAATGAGGATGAATTTGACACAATTCAACCAAACTGAGGACAAAGGAAGCAATTAAACCATAATTATTTTCAAATGGAAATCAAAAGAAGCAAAGGAAGTAAAAGATAAAGACAATGATGGACGACTATGAATGCAGTGTCGATCACGTTAATGCAAGAGTCGGAGATGTGACATGAAGGCCATTAGCGGTGGGTGAAGATGGTGAAACTAGCGTCAGCGACAATTACCTACCTCAGTGCTGCCATGGCTGCTGACAAATTTTGCTTATATTCTCTTTATTTCCCTTGTTCTTGTCAGATAACCACCTTTAAAATCCTTATGTATCGCTACCTTTAAAATCAAATGTACAGCTAATTTTCCAAATCCTTATTTAATATCAAACCAAACAAAACCTGAAAATTAATTTTTATCTACGACGTAAAAAACCTAAAACTAGAAAATATAATGAAGAAGCTCTAGTCGACTGTAGAAATATTCCCACTAAAAACAGGATATTAGAGAAAGTTATAAGAAAAAATTAGCATAAAAAAAGTGGAATTTTAAACTTAAATTTCAAATTAGATATCCGTAAACTTAAAATATGATGAGATTTAGAGGTGAATTTTGATCTTGTATAGCATCTAATGCTATCTTTAGTTGTTGGCTGTCAAAAGGTTTGACACGGTTTCTCAACAGGGTCCTCAAAAGATTATACGTCTTTATAATCTATACATTTGGAAAATCATCTTTTAAGTTAAGATGATTAATATCTAATAAGACATTAGTCATGATTAAATTTTACATGAATTGATCGTTTGCAATTAAAGTTCCAGTATTCTAAAGATACGTGGATTGGATTACATATGTAATTTTAAAGCTGCCGGTCCGCCTTTTGTTTTATCTACATAACATTCTCATTTTATCATAGTTTTAGAGAGAACTAACGAGGGATCATGAGAACTAAAATCTTTCCACTAAACAGTGCATACTAATCACAGTACGGAGCCTGCTATGGGCTTATGCCACAGATACATCTGTTAAGCTACATTATGAAACACCCGAAGTATTTAACATCGATATAAACACGTACAAGCCATAACTTTAGGTCCATTTGATTGCAATAAACAGAGCAAGGATAGCCATATTCTGATAATCACTTTACGCTGCATCAGCAAATCCCACTCTTTGATTACCAAAATCAAATACTGTATGATAAGGCCCCATGAAGACGTCCCCAAGTATCCTGCATTAACAAAGATCCCATTTTGTGAGAATCAAATCAAACGAATTACAATCCAAAAAGACAACAGAGAATAAAAAAAAAAAAAAAAGTAAATGTCATGAGGCTAGTTGAAGAAATTTTGCGTACCAGAGAGGGCCACGAGGAGGTGGAATATCTATAGCCGTAAAGCCACTAATGCACTGAGCCACAGGGCCTTCACCCACTTTGAGTATGTACTGAATAAACCAAATAGAAACTAAATGAGGACACGTGAATATTCTTGCAAAAAAACTTATGCAACTCCCCCCACATAAAATTATGAGCGCTTGAGAGACCGATCTCCCATCCTTGTGTAAGTTTTATTCCTGTTAACCTTTTTATCTTTTTCCAAATCGTCCCCCCGATGACAGGAGGTTAGAAAGAACTTCATATATCGACAAATCTAAGGGTACAACTTTTTTCTTTTTGCTCTGATGTAAATCTTATACTTGTCGATGTGACATTATTAGTCATTCAATCAACAATTTGAAAAAAGAACAAAAGATTTAGTCAATGAGTTTACGTGTGGGCGCCACATAATATCTTCCTTCTACAGGAAGATTATGGGAATAACATCAATGGAGATTCGAATTTAGGGATTAAATTACCGTAAAATTTTATTATAAAAGGGCTATAAATTAACGCTGTTAACAATTAATGGAACTCCCCTAACATCCTACCTGATGTTGGTTTGTATTTAGTGGGAGACTAAAGTTGATGTCAATTCTTTGGAGCATCAGATTGATTTCACATATATATTGGTGGATCAAATTAGTGTTTACTCGTAATAAATGTCAATTCGTTCGAGGAAGAAATTGATGGCAAATGTAAATTTAGGTGTGTACTTATTTCTTTGTACTAACTACTTTACTACCCATATGTTGGTATTAGATAACAGAAGAATAATCACATAATCCCATTCCGATAAACCGCTTGACTAGTAAATAATTAGTTAATCTTACCCTATGGAAAACAAGGCATCAATAGGATATGGGTTTTGTAGCCCATGGTTTCTTTACGTACAGTTATGAAATTGCAATTCAGCTGATGTAACCAGGTTTATCTTCAATTCTGTTATTGATTTTATTTTTCTATAAAATGGTGCCTTGTAGTCCTCTTACTCTTAACTCCTACTGCTCTGAATTTATCTTGTTTTCATTAAAATAAAATTCGGTTAAGTGATCAATCATAACAAAAGCATTAAAGCAACAAATCAGGTTTTAGCCTGAGGAAATCTTACCTCCTCTGGGCGAAGGTCAAAAGTTCTTCCACCAATAGTAAAGGACACTACAGGTAATGAAGAGATATCCCCGCAGCCAACAGAAGATTCTCCCATCGGGCTTGGCATTTTATCGCAAAGCTGCAACATCATCATGAACCTATGAATCAAGAGGTGTGGAAAGATGCTTGAATAGCAAAATTAAGAGAACTGGCTCACCTGATTGACGTAGTTTAGTATCTGATCCTGTGTTTGATTTCGGCTGAGTTGGTTCTGCATCCAAACAACCGCCATCTCACACGCAGAACAAGCAGCATCATGAAGACCACCAGATGATTTTCTTGCATTCTCATCCACAACGCTCTCTATGCCCATACTGGAGTGAGGGGGGTGAACAAATAATAAAATGGAAATCATGTGTTAAAATATTAAAGTATTTAAATAAATTGCCAAAGACTCAAAGGAGAAAAAATATTTTCAGGACTTACTCAACACCACGAGTCCCATCAAAGGTGCACAATCCAATTTGAGAACAGATCTTCTTCGGCTGTGCCTAAAGTATGTAAAGCAAAAAACATAAGAAAACTTAATTTTAAAAGAATATAAGATCTTTCAAACAGCCATTCGTAACAAAGGGCAAGTTATTAAAAAAAATATGGCAAGAACAAATTACAAATGGTACTCACTTCAGCCAAAAGCAAATTCAATATCGTTTGTCCATACTCTGCAACAACGGTCTTGCATTCTTGGCTCATAACTCCAGCTGCTCCAATTGCATGGTTTATCATAGTTATTACAGCCTACAAGAACAAAAGCAATAAGTGTTCACAGAAAAAAGCTATTGCGAAGCCTTTGTTAGACCTTTTCGCGTATGACAACATAAACAGTGCAATGAGAATTGTGAATGTCTAAAATCTCCATAACTGTTGAAATAGATCATGAACCGACAGAGGAATATCTTATGAGAGAGTGCTGCATATAGTATAAGAATTTTAAATTGAAACTATACAAATGTTAATCAATCTATATCTAGCATTTGTCCATACCGTTGGACCAGCCAATAGCGAAGTCCCTGAGTCTGCAATGGCTGAACAACCACCAGCACAATATCCTGAATGACAATTACATCAGCTTAGTCAAAATAAATTGAAACTATAACCAATGCAAAGCATACACCATACGAAGAACACATTATCTACACGTACCAGTGGGTTTACCACCAATTAGTACATCTCCCATATCAAACTGAAAAAGAAAAGAAAATTAACATAGAGAAAGGTAAAGAAAACATTAAGTACAAAGAAAATAATAACCTGCCAATATCCTTTTCTGGTCACAGGCACATAAGTATGCTCTCCCTTATAGTGAGCAGGGTCAACACCTCCAAAAACAATCTCACCCCCTTCCTCTTCCTCTGGTTTGCGGTTTAACCAAAATGAAAATACTGGTTCCTTAATAAGACCTTGTTTAACCATGTTGTACCTGACAGATAATAAGATAAGATAAACACGGGGATTCACTAAACTTTGAAGAAAAGTAAAATGGGACCCACTAGGTCTGTGTTAAGCAGCCTTAACTTGCCTTTGCAAGAGGCTGATTCAATCAACTTCTAACAAAATAATGAATAAAATTGAAGTCATAACAAATACCACACTGGAACAGCCTTTCCAACAGATATCTCTTGAAATCCAAGTCCCAGTATACCATCAAACTTGGCTGCCAAAAATACAAGACCTGGCTCCCTAGTTGCTTCGATAAATTCCTGTTGGGAATCAAAAGGAATTCTGTTAATTACTAATCAATATATTATGAGAAGTCATCTTACACCCTCCTCGATTAAAATAAACATTGATGATCAGCAATATAGCCCTTACCTGGTTCTTTACAACTATGTCACCGACTCTAACATTGTCATAGCTAAAGAAACCAGAAATTGCTCCAGTACCATATTGAATAGCAGCAGCAGTTCCTATATAATAGCGGGAAAGACATTGTGTTATAGAGAAAGACATAATCCCAGCATCCTTTCTACATGAGCAAAACAAGAAGTGGGCCAAAACAGAGGAACATATAAACACTGGTAACAAACAGATATTTTCCACAAACCAAATTACAATGTCAGAACCTACAGACATCCGAACGTTCTACTACCATTAAGGCCCTAACCATATGTTAGATGGCAAAATTTCAAACTTCGTCTCTATCGTATCGTAGAATATATGTCCGTTCCTATTGGCATAATACAGAGATTGAAAAAGTACACGGATTCAAACTAATCTGAAAAATGAAATAGTATTTGCCAGCTACTCAAATTTCAAATCTTCGGTTTTCAAATTTATACAACGAGGGAACTTCCGCAAACAGTTTTAGTTAAACTACGGGCTAAAGGAACAACGTTAACTTTAAAGCGTTATTAGAAATGACGAGGAAGACAAACCATTTCTCCTGTAAGTACTTGATCTGCTAGACCTGTACTTAGCATGGAAGTAGCATGCAAGCTGCACCAAAATACAAAATGACATGAATAAATACTGAACGAGAGCAATTAAATCTGGTACATATTCATAAGTGACAAATTAAATATTAGAGTATAAGGCAAAAAAATACCGAAAAGGTGCATCTGGATGATGGCACCCACAAATTAGAGCTGCCTGTGTCGAAAATGACAGTGAACTTCTGAGGAGATGTTCCAATGGCTATTTCACCAAAATACTGAGCATCCAAGTAATTCTTTAAGCCAACAATATCGGTTTCCTCAGTGCCACCGAAGTTGTTTTGAAGATGAAACTTTCTAATAGAAGCCGGGAGAGAATCATCGTTGGACCCAATTCGAGCAGCAAGCCTGTTGTTAGGGTCCAATTTAATCTTCTTGAGCCCAATCCTGCGCAGCCCATCATTGGGTGCACAAGACACGGCAGAAAACAACAGGATTGTCACAAACAAGCACAAGGAGATCACATTCATGTTGTTCCCCATATTCTCCTATTCAACCAAATTTGTAAGTTCAATAAGAATGGTTACCAAGAAAATACTCATAATTGAGGATGCTTAATATAATATAACTGACAACAACTAAAAACAAAAAAGAATAAATTAAAAAAGACGAATTTTAAATTATTGTGTCAACTTTTGACCAATAAAAACATGAATATGGAATTTTAAAAAAAAAACTAAAAAACTTGAGATATAGATGGACAAACACAAAAAGTTAAAAAAAAAAAAGACTGAAATCCAGACAAGGATAGATTTTTGGGATGAAACCTAAATAATAGTTTTCTTTTTCTCTGTAATCGGCCAAAAGAAGAAAAGCATAGAAAATTGTTCGCCTGGTATAAACAGAATACCATAGATGATTATTATAATAATAAAGTACAGTTTACAGAGACAAACTGAACATGAAAACAGAATTAAACAATAAATAATTAAGTGAAACGAAACCGATGAAAGAGAACGTCACAGTAGCGTGTTTAAAACGAGGAGAAAGGACCCGATCATTGCAAAATGAGATGCAGATTAATTGAAAAAGACAGAGAAGAAGAGTGAGAATGGAAGAATGGGATTACCGACTCTATGGAGAAGAGGATCGCAGAGCAAAGAGAAAGCAATTGAGGGAAAGAGAATGAGTTATAAGCAGTTCAGTCGAGAGTGTCTCTCACACACACACCTTCCTTGCCTTTCTTCTGACCTTACCACTCTTTATTCCTTTCTTTTCGCCTAATCAGAACGCAAAATCAAACTAGGCGGTGCAATCTTTCAATCCCCACCCTCCATTTCCACACGATCCTCACCCTAGATCTTAAGGGATAAATCACAGAAGAGTTGGTAACTGAATTTAATGCAGAGAAAGAACCATTTCTTTATATTTAATGCAGAAAAAGAACCATTTTTTTTATATTTAATGCAGAAAAGGAACCGTTTTTCTATATTTATTTATGCATGCAGAGATACGTGGTGGTTTGGATTTGGAATACGTGGCTTTTTTAGGACATCACACCATTGTACGGAAGTTACATATTCTCTTTAGTTTTTTTTGTCTTCATATGCTAATTTTAATATTTTAAATATATTAAAAAGTTAATATATTAATGTTAGTGTCTTTTTGAGGACATCACACCATTTTTCGGAAGTTACATTTTCTCTTTAGTTTTTTAATATATTAATGTTAGTGTATTTTTAATATTAAATAAAAGACGGCATAACAATCAGTAGAGAATCCGTACTCCATTTATTTCCTGGGCTTTCCTTCTCTTACTCATTCATTACTTCTATTAGGAATGTAGTTTAGGTACCATATAGTGTTAATTGTTAACAAAAAAAGTTATCCTTTATTTATTTTATAATTTGTTTAATATTTATTTAAAATATATTTTTGAGTATTTTAAAATTTATGGGATACATGTAAATATTTAAAAAATATATTTTATAAATTTTAAAATAAAATTATAAAATATAGTATAAATAAAAATAAATTAAAATTTAATTTTAATAAATTTGAGTTAATAAAATATAAATTAATTTAATAAAATATAAATTAAATTTTAATTATCTAGTAATGGATATTTATGAGTATAATAGATAATATAATATTATAGATATTAAAATATGGTTTAATACCTCTTTTGGTCCCTCGAAAGAGGGCAAATGTTCAATTGCGTCCTACGTTTTTTTCGAAGTTCAATGTGTTCCCGACTTATGAAAAAAATGTGCAATTAAGTCCTTTTTGGTAACAGCGTTAATTTTTTAACGGGCCAGCTAACAGAGTGGACTGAAGTTTGCAACGTGTATAGGGAATGTTAATACTTAGTGCAAGACCGAGCAGTCTTTCACTTATACACCGAACAGGACCGAAGGGTCCATTCTAGATAAGACTCATCATGAACTTAATATTCCCCAGAGACAAGACTGAACGTTTTGAATACCTTCTAGACTAACACAGCTGAATACTTAGTGCAAGACCGAACAGTCTTCCACTTATACACCGAACAGGACCGAACGGTCCATTCTAGATAAGACTCATCATGAGCTTAATACTCATGATAATAATTGGACGTTTACTTGTTACCATACCAAACTCCTAAGGATGTATCGAATACTAAATATTACATATAATTTAGACTTAACGGAAAATCATAATAATTATTGCTAGAACCTAAGAAATATATATATATATATATATATGCTTACGTTTAGAAAATAAATTGTAATTTATCTGATTAATCTTAGTTTTTTTACTATAAAAAAAATATTCACTTGAAGATAATTTAAAAAAAAATCATATTTTTAAGAAAATTGATATTTCATTTATATCTACTTAATTTTCTTTAGGTGAGTTAAGTCAAGGTCCACAAACGCTACATAGCATAATTCGAAGTGATGAAAATAACAATATTAATGATTCTCACTTTGTTAGGAAATGGTTTGTGCATACAGAAGTGAGTTTCTAAAGGCACTATCCCTCACAATAATAAAACTACGAATTTTTTTATTTATTTCATATATAAATTTATTATTTATGAATAAATATTAATTTTATTTTTTTAACATTAACAAATTACAATGCTATATTTTAATTTCATTTTATTTTTATTTTAGTAATTATAATAATTGTATTAATATCAATTCAACCTTATTCAACTACTATTAAACTACTGAATTTTGAGTCAGTACCTTAACCAATTTTATAACCCGTGATTTCAAAAACAAATTTCAAACAAAATAACATAAAATATTTATGGACAAAGTTCTGTAAATAACTAACTTTTGTAAAAAAAATAAAATCTGCCTAACTATATTTAATAAATCTAAATTTTTTATATCCTAAAATGAAGAAAATAATATAAATTATAAACTAATGTAAGTATTGATTGCTTATATAGACAACATAAAAATGTTTTACATTATCATCTCATAACAAATTATTATGTATATACTATATTTATTTAGTCTTATACTAGAAATTGGGTTTAAGCCTAACTCAACTCCACAAAACCGATTTATAAGGTGAGGTTTACATCTCACTTATATATTATATTTTGATCTTATTTCTAGTCGACGTGGGACTTCCAACTTCTTATAATATTTTTTTTAAAACAAGTATGGCATAGTAAATAAATATTTACACAAAAATGCATATAATTTATATAAATTATTAAGTATCATAAAATAAACATCTTAAAGAAAAAATACAGTAGTAGCTTCATATTATCAAATATCTTACTAAAAGCATACTACATTTTTAGTGAAAGGTAAAACTCAATTTGAGTTTCCTTACACATCTTCACAATGGTTATTATGTTGACCATAAAATTCCTAGTAAAAAAAATCATAGAGGTAATAAGTCATAGGTAGCGACTATTACCAATTTTCACGCTAAAATTTTAAATACGAATCTAAGCTTTTACATCGAATAAAAACAAGAAAATAAAGTATATATCATATAAGTTAAAGATTTATTATCAGATGTTTTTAAGTTTTTTTTTTTTTAGAAAATAGTTTTAATTTTTAATATGATTGTTATCATATTTTATTGGTGTTCCTCTTTGGTAGACCCAACATACATCTCAATCACCTAAGACAAAATATGATAATTGTTTTTTAATGATCGGTGCAGTGGTATATGTAACACTAATCTGGGATATGATATGATGTTGATACTTATTTCAAAATCTCAGTTTTGTGACAACCTCAACTAGAGTGACATAGAAATGTTTGAATTTTAATTGCAGTTACGAGTTGAAAGGTAAACTGTCGTGTCTTCTAGGAATTCTCATATCCATTAACATGTACAGCTAGTGCTTTGAAAACAAAAAGATACCAAAAGTGAAAAAAAGCAAAAGGAGAAGAGGGTGTAAAGTAACAGTTGCAGATATTATTCTGTATTGGATTTAAATTTCTTGACCTGAGCACTTTTGGTTCAGAAAGAATCAAGTTGTTGGTGGTGCATAATCTGTGATGGGTTCGCGTCTTACCTTCAAGCAAAAACCGATGTTATTACTAGTACTCATTCACTCATTGTTCACCCTGACAAGGTCGCAGTTCACCGCATGCAGAACTTCTTGTGGTGACATTCCCATCGAATACCCTTTTGGCATTGACGACGGATGTGGAAGCCCTTATTACAGATACATTCTGGTGTGTTCTGAGTCGGGAAAGCTCGAAGTCAGAACCCCTTCTGGGAGATACGTGGTTCACAATGTTAGCTATGCTGATCCTCACATTCTGGTCACCGATCCATTCATGTGGAACTGTGAAGATGGTGAAAACTATCGCCCCACAAGGCCTTTCAGTTTGGACACCAGCACACGCTTCAAGCTTTCCCCTCAGAATGAGTACCTCTTCTTCAATTGCAGTGAAGATCACGTCATCGTTAAGCCAAAGCCAATCTTCTGCGACCGCTTTCCTGAACGCTGTGATTCTTCCTGTGACAGTGGCAGCTACCTTTGCAGGCACATGCCGGGGTGCTCTTTCCTTATGAGTGGCAGTTCTTGCTGCTCTTACTCTCCAAGAGCAACCGAGTCCTTGAGGCTCATGCTCAAGTATTGTACTAGCTACACTAGTGTTTATTGGAGAAATGTTGGGGCTCCTCAACCTTATAATCAAATTCCTGATTATGGAATCAGAATTGATTTTGATATCCCTGTAACTACACGCTGCCTTCAGTGCCAGGATCCTTCCAAAGGAAGTGGAACTTGCGGATTTGACACTGAGACACAGAGTTTCATGTGCCTGTGCAAAGAAGGAAATTCCACTTCTCATTGTAAAGGTATGTCTAACAATGATCATTTCTTGAAGTTTATTTTCTATCCACTCTCGGTGTAATCAGAAAACCTTGTAGAAATTATTTTTAAAACAATCTCTGTAAAAAAGAATTAGTTTATCGTACGATTTTCATACTGCATAACCTGTTTGTTTACCTCAGCCACCATTAAGGAGGTTTGCATTTTGAAATTTGCTAAAAAAGTAGAATTGACTGGTTATTGTTTGATTTGGCAGATTTTGATACTGCACGTCACAGTAGAAGGGTCAATGTGATTGCAGGTGATTAAAATAAATAAAGTTAATGGAATAATATTCTGAATGATGTAGTTTTTGAAGTGAAAAATTCATGCTTGTGGATATGTTGGCTGCAGGGACTGCTACAGCTGTTTCGGCTGCAGGGGCATTTGGAGTTGGAGCTGGTATTTGGTACTTGAAGAAAGTGAGAGCTAAAGCACCAGTAACATGTGGAGTTCAAAGCAACGAGAATAGGCTTTTCTAAAGAGAACCAAATAACGTGAACTGCATAATCACGGAGTATCTCTTCCTTTTGTTACTTTTTTCTCCTTAGCTATTAAGGTTACTTATTTATACAACATTATATAGGCCTTTTTTGCTCCCCAGTTGGCATCATTATGTGATGTTGGGTTGTATTTTACACCAAGTTCATTGAAAGAAAACGATCGATCCGTTGCATGACCATTTTTCGCACCACTTCTAAGCCCAGATACGGATAGGACACGGACATGGATCCGGATATAAGGTTAAATTGAAAAAGTACAAGACACGGACATATTAGTTTCATACTGTCAACCAACATAAATCTAATCTATCTATCTAATGTACAAGAAAAGTGGTGATCATTCTTATTTTTATAATGATAATAATAGAAATTTTTATAATCAACGAGATACGTCATTTATGAGACGTGTCCAAGCTTCATAGCTTCTAACATCAACCTTTGAGATTATAGAAAATTTTCCTTATAGGCAGAGAGACAGATAGAAACAGAAATTTAATGAGAATATTCTGTCATAATTTTTTTATTTGACACAGTTCAAAACCATACTAACATGCTCTTCCAACAGTACAATATGTGGGGCCTGCATTGAGAGTTATTGCAGGCACCATGTATGCTGGAGCAGCAGCAAAATATTGAGTTGGTGAGTAATTTGGAGCACAGCTTCCAACTCCAGAGGGTACAAAATAAGCATCATTGAAAAACAAGTCCTTGGAAGACCTCCATTTCCAACTTTTCCAGTTCTCCTTCACTTCCCTCTTGGTAACCTGTTTTGCATTTGGGTCATTCGGTGCTACATAAAAATTCCCTTCACTTAATATGGTTGGGTTAGCACTACCGCCTATAGCATACATTTTCCACTCATCATATTTGTTGTTCACCACATGGGCATAACCAAACCTTACCCTGCATTTTCATCCACGCCAATACAGTATTTATTTTCATAGAACATGCAAATTCAATCCATACAAAAATCACCCTTACCTTGGCATCCTCTCAGTTAGGCCACTAGCAAACTGGTTGAAGGCTATTGTCACTTTCATTATTTTATCCTTTGTGAATTGGTCACTGTGTCCTAGCAACATAACCTGCAGGTACGTTTATGAATAAAAGGCAGCCACATAACGTAATCTTGTAGCCACACAATATATATATGCAGCAGGATTCTTGTATCGTTGTACTTTTCCCTAAAATGCATGGTATTTATTTAGTAATTATATTGCATGCACATGAACAAGAATCTGGTATATCAGAAAGGGAAAGGATATGATATAAGGCATCAGACAAAAAAGGAAGAAGTGGCTGTGTTTGTTCAACTTACTTTGTCGTGCTGAGTAAAGTAATTGTTAGAGATGGTAATGGCGGTTGAGGCACGAATAACATCGATTAGGCCATCGGTGGAACGAGCCAAAAAACAATGATCGATCCAAACATTGGTGGAATCGATTATGCTGATGGCATCTCCATCGGAGCCTAAACGATGGCCAACATGGTCAGGAGTGTTCAGGCCAGGCTTGGCTGGTTCGCAATCATGGATGCTAATGCCATGTATGATAACATGGCTAACATTTGATATTGTAATACAAGGCCCATCAGCAATCTCCACTTTTGCTCCTCTTCCATCAATGGTTTTGTTGCTACTCATAATAAGCTCATTTTTTAGTGTAATGACCATGTCTTTGTCGAAAATGATCCAGAGTGGGTCATTTTGGATTGCACCATAGCGGAGTGTGCCTGGTTTTGGGTTTGCAGGGTCATCGGAGGGATCGGAGACATGGTATACTGCACCATACTTGCCTCCTGTGGCCTCTTTGCCAAAGCCAATTGCACAATCAGCCAAGGCTTGGCGATTTGAGCTCCAATTTGGTCTGGCCCTCCAGCAAGAGTCTATCACATTGAGCAATGGTTTCTTAGGAATGTACTTTGAGAGAGGTTGGGGAGTGTTGTTGTAGTAGTTGTTCCCTGTTGAATGAGCAGAAACAAAGGTTGAAGCAAGGTGTACCATGAAGCATGAAAGTAGGAGGAGTGTGGTTGACGTGGCCATGCTTGTCAATGCAACAATTTCACAAAGGGCATGGTATGAAATGAGGTTATTTAATAGGTGGGAAGAAGGTTATGCACACAATCTATGAGTTTGCCTTAGAAATGCATTTTTTGGGTTTAGATAACAAAATTATGGCTTCACAAGCTTGCCTTCGTTTACTTGCTAATTATAATCTTGTTATAATCCATTTGTCATTTCTTGTATGAATAGCATTACAATGTAATGCTTCAACGGACACGGAAGTTCAATGCTTCACAACAATGCTACTCACAAAGATAATCTATTTATCAAATAATTTAGAAGCCTCATTAGAATCTCTTTACCATTGAGAAGATAAATATATTAAGATGGTTAAAATTTCAAATATGAGTCTCCATCGTACACCAGGTAGAAATGAAAAAGTAAAACCTCGTACAAGTTTAAAGATGCATTGATTTATTGTTTTAAGGTTTTGGATAAAAAGTAATGTCGATCTTTTATGTAATTAGACTCAAATTTCATTAGTATTATATCTCTCAGTCTCCTCGATGTATCCAACAAAGAGTTGGTATGCCATCTTATTAATGTTCCAATTCTTAGATAACTTTGTATAACTATAATAAAAAAACTTAAATCTTCTTATTCTAATACAATTTTCATTATAATAATTTGCATGGGATAATAATTTAAAACTATATTATTTTACATCATCAAATCACATCTTTAATTTCTCTTTCCTTAATATTTCTAAAACTTTGTTTGGACATTTTTTTTAATATATCTATTTAAGATTTAAAAAAAAACTTCAAAAATAACAATTCTTAAATGAATAGATATTACAGAATATATTTTAAGTATTCAAATTTCATAAACAACAAATTACAAAATAAAACAAGCTTTTGTAGTAACAAAATTATATATGAAGTTGTGATATCTGCTTTATTGTGGTGGATTCCAATCATATCTTACGCATAGCTGCACATTCCATAGATACACGAACTCTGAGCATTGCACTTGTTGCCACATTTCCCACAATGCTTCTGGTTACTCTTAGGATTCACGCACTTACCTTGGCAGCATATCTTTCCATAACTGCATTTCTTTCCACACTTTCCGCAGTTGGAGCCATCTGTGGACAAGTTCACACATTTTTTCATGCAGCAATCTGATCCTGCGCTACCTTTAATGTCACACACATTTGGGTATTTGTCGCACGTCACCACCACCCTCTCAGAAAGGAATCTGTTTTTCACATTTTTTGCTTCTTTTCCTGACACAGAAATGGCCAAAGCCATTATTAGCATGGCCACGACGAAGTGCTTCATTTTTGTGTGTTAACAAAACAATAGTTATATATATGCTCTGATAGATATATAAAGATGGTAGAAGTATTTATAGACAAGTATGCATGTTCGTGAAGTTGGTATTACTATTATATTTTGCATTTCCCTATACGTATTGATTGGTTAATGCGGTGGTCCAAATTTGTTAGGCTTGTTTGGCAACAATTTCAAACTTCTTCCATACAAATAAGTTGAAATCGGATGTACTTGAAACCCTAGTTTTTGCAGAAAGACAAAGGTTAACCTCAGTTTAGTCTCTAATTATTCTCCATCGTCTTAATCAAAAACAGTATTATTGTATAATTCTACGTACGTAAACCAATAAACCGCTAGAGTGCCACCATTCAGTTCCAAAATTTTGACAATTTGTAGAAGATGGCGGAAGTTGAATCTCAGAGTTGGCCATTGGGCAATAAAATAAAGATGAACAAAATTTAGAATGAACATTCAAAATATAATCCACTTCACTGAAAAACTGGTTTGAACTAAAATTAGTTTTAAAAAATTATTAAAATGTTCGTTCAAAATTGAAACCATTGGCAGAATAATAATCATCCTTTGTTGAAACTAAAAATTAATGTTTGCATGATATTTAATAATAGTAATTTTAAGAAAATAGCATCGACTTTTCGGGAAATAATTTTATGAGGCTTACGGTGCAATCCCGCGTTTGGCTTTCGTAAGTGATTTTCTAAACCAAACTTTGAAGTAGAGAGTATCATTAGCTTCTATGGTCAAACTTTTTAGCTGCCAATGTCTATGGTTAATCAAATACAGTGCAAGTTTCCTTCAATGTTAGTCAAAGACGTAAACCAGATTATGAATATTGAAGCACACAATTACAACATGCTACTGTTATGCACAAACCGTTTCATTCAAGAAAGATTGTTAATACATTATTCACTACTACATGCGTAAGAGAGTAGTGTTAAAAAGTGAACTTTAAGCATAACTCAATCTCATAAAATCGATTTATAAAGTGAGGTTTGCATCCACTTATAAACTATAAATTGACCTTATCTCTAGTTGATGTGGAACTTCCAACAACAAAGAATAACACGCGATTGTGTTGATGCAAACCTACACTCCCTTTTTACATTAATATCTATAAGTTTTAGTTAGAAATTTCATTAAACAACTAAGGAAACTTTGTACTAAATTAGATCTTGAGGATGATTACTTGGCTTCTGTTTCTTATTGTCATCAAAACATTTGGTATATAAAACACAAAATTATTCCCAGCGTGATCGCTTTCAAGTTCATATATACCTACAAGTTTATGTGCGCAATCTATAATACTTACAGTTAACATCATTAACGAATTTACGTGGGAATAGTTGTAGTTTTTGTCCCGTTCAAAATTAATGTTAGATTTAAAAAAAAAAAAAAAAACAAATCAATTGTTAATAAGTAATTAAACTCTTTAATTAACAGAACAATCTCCAATATTCTATAGGACAGTGTCGAAATATATATAGATTAACAATTGGAAACAATGTAGATAAAAATGATATATGACTCTTCAATTATGTAAGTTTTATTCTATAGAGTATTAAGAATTTCTTAATTAATTAAATAGTTTGTTGCTCATTAATAATTGATGTGTTTTGAATACATAATCTAATAACAATACATAGTCTTAATTAATCAAAATTTAAATTAATCAAATCACTTTAATAAATTAATTAATAAAATATAATAAACGTGACACGTTTAATTATATATATAACCCAAATTCTTAACAATTAACTTATGCAATTTTAAGATTTGCTTCATGGATTATTGGGCTTTACCATGGAAGAATTTTTACTAAATGTGTTGGTGGTGGTAGTCATTAGAGAGTTCAGATGCTAGCATTTTAGGAAAGTTTGGCAACTTGACGTGGAGTGATGCTAGATTGGTCAAGACACATAATTTATTATATATTTTAACTCATCAAGACTTTACGTTGTTTAAGTTAAATTAATAAAAAAAAAAAGCTTATTTGTTACCTTTTTATAAAAAAAAAATACTCAATTGAAACTATTTAAAATTTAATGATCGAAATAAGATTTTCAAACAAGCATGAAGATTAACTCAAGAATTTAAACCTATATAGTAATAAATAATAAATATTTTATAAAAAATTATAAATTTTAAGAATCAATTTAAATCCCACAAAATATATATTGTTATTCTTAATTAAAGTTCCATGTATTAGAGGTGAATGAACAATTTAACTAAGGATAAAAATATATACTTTATGAAATTTTGTTAAGGATTAAGAGAGTCCTATAAGAGATAAAATTATATTTAACATATATTTGTGAAACCTGCTCATAAAAATTAAAGATAAAAATAAATTTTATATTAAATAAAACAAAAATATTAAATTATATATAAGAAGAAGTTTACAAATTAATCATATTTAAATTTTTATTGAAAATTAAGGTAATATTTTTTTAATGTAAAATTAAATTTTCTCTGAAAATTAAGATCAATCTAACATATTAAATACATTTTATGACACGTCTGTGAAAGCTTTGCTGGAATGAAAGGGGCACGTTAACCTATCAAAGAATTGTCTATTTTGGAAATTAAATTCTTTGACATATTAGTATTTTTTTTTAAAAAAAAGAAAAATTGGTAGAAATTACTGGTTGTGGTGGGGGCAAGCTTTATAACTGCATTTTGGTGGACAGTGTTATGCTACAAGTGGGTTGATAACGTAAAACTATTTATATAAAAATATATGAAAAATACTCAAATAATGAAATGAAAAAAATAAGAAATAAAATCATAACTACTTTCATCACTAAGGTGTTATATTATTACACACAAATATAATTCTTTTTATTATTTTGAAATTATGTTTAATACCTCTTTAAATAACTCTTTTTTGTAAATGCATATAAGAGAAAGAAAAAAATAAAATATTTTCGTTTTTCTTCATATTTCCTTTTTTTTTCTCTTTATATGACCTTTTGTTACTTTATAAATATTTTTATTCTGACTTTTCTTTTAAAAAAAATCCTAATAAATTAAAAATATTTATATCATCGTTTACTAACGATATATCATATTTAATTGTCTCGTATGTTGTAACATTCCAAAATTACAATATAAAATCATATTATAAAATATTCACAGTTAACAATATTATAGTCCAGTTCTGAAAGAGAAGAGGTACGTTCATGGCCGAACGTCCTTACAATAATACTCCAGAATTTAAACTTTACAAAACAAAAGTCTAGACCGAACGGTTCCAAGACTAAGCTTACACTGATCGGTTATAGTGGTGGGTTAACCAATTTCATGTTGCATATTAATTGAGAGAAACAAAATCAGTTCCAATATAAAAAAGTTAATATATTTTGTTTTTCTCTTTGGATTAATAATATATATATATATATATATATACTAATATATTAATTTTAATTATAAAGAAAAAATAATAACTTTACATTTTAATTTATTAAAATATATTTTTTATCTTATCACATTCATCAAATCTTACAAAATTAATCTTCAAATCTACTCCATTTCACTTTAAAATTCTTTAAAAGAAGACAGACTTTATTTTTAAATTTTCCAAATCTGTCTAATCATTCTTTCTCAAATCTATTTTTAGAAGTGAACACAAACAAAATAATAGAGAAAGTGGATAAAAATTTCATCCACTTCAGACGCCATCTGGTGGTGAAAATCCTATCCACCGATGTTTATCAATTATCATCTTACTAGTTTCAATTAATATTTGATCAATAGATTTTATGATAAATATAAACATACAGTAGAATTTTAAAAAACAAGGAATTTAGCTACCAAAAACAAGCGATGAGCGCCTTCAAATTTACGTTCCATCAAGATATCGACATTAATAACTGTGCCCTCAAGATATGTATGTTTGCTTGCGTTATATATATATATATATATCACCATCGGTAAAGAGGAAACTGAAAAAACATGTAAAGTAAAAAATTTAAGAATTTATTCACCGTTCTAACCTCGTAAAATGGCAGAGTGAAAAACAAATGAATTGATTTTGCATCCATAGCATGCAACTATCAAAGCAAGTTGGAAACCCACGCTGCCCCTCTTCTATTAAGTTATGCACCTATTAAAATAGTGTACAAATCATAAACAGTCATACCAGGTAAATACTGGGCTAGCTCACACTTTCCATCCAACAGAGCCATAACTCTCCGGCCATTGCCAAGTCGACCAGGCACAGCATAAACTATTTATCGTTGCTTCCAGTACAAACGGACACAAGAGCGGAAGCAACTACTGTACACCAACCTTACTGTTTTCACGGTCCAAAACAACATTCAAAATCTTGCCAGGAACGTAAATTCTTTTTTTGACAGATTGACCATCCAAATACTTTGATAGCTTTTCATCCCTAGATGCTAAGACAAAAGCTTCCTCCTCTGAACATGTTTCCTCAACCTCGATGGTCCCTCTTGTCTTGCCATTAATCTGTACTGGAAGGACTACGGTGGAATCCTTCAGGTAAGTCGGATTTGCCTGAAATAACAACATATTCCAAACATGATCATTATCTAATGACTATCACTCTTTCCACATGATTAAACTTAACTTGCATAAAATTGTTTTTTGTTCCATTAGTATCAAAGCCATGGATCCTCACGACAACAGTCCAGGTGCCCTTGAAAAGTTGAGGAAACTCACACTATTGCCCCTTTTTACCACAAATGCAAGTAGGAAAAAGATTTCCCACCTTAGTGTAAATTTCTAATTATTTACCTCAAGTATAAACTCCACGGTAACAAGGAGTAAACTGTGTCCTCTCCCTTGTTGCAACTAGAAAATCGTAGCACAACCACCACAATGACAAGTCCTGGGACAAGGATCTTCTCATTGAAATATAATGTCTTGCAATCCTATCTCTTAATAGGTTTTCCCTTCAGAATACACATTAAATAACAGCCCCTTACTCAAATTGAAAATATTTTGCAGGGATGCAGTGGTATAGCTTGATTCCTAATTAACTAACTACCGACTTCTAAGCAGGGATGAATGAATCCACATTGCATGAAATGTCTACTTCGGGTTACTTTAAAAATTAAGCTAAGGAACAATATTACTAGTGTGTAAAATATCTATTTTAGGCTATTAAAGAAAAATTAAAATTAATGACCACAACTTGACATACCGTGCAAGTATAGGAATGATTTGTTATTGATCCAAATCCATACCTTAGGGAAAGGCACGTAGGCTAATGATTTCCTGTGCCCTAGTCGAGACCATAGCTCCTCAGCCATGTGTGGTGCATACGGTGAAAGCAGCAAAACAAATGCCTCAATGACCGATCTTGGATGTTTATCCCACTATAAATATATGCCGATCGTAAGAATCAGTGCGAGAGTCACCACTTATTCATAAGAAAAGAAAATGTGAAACGGAGTAACAAAGCAAAAGGATATTGAAATGTGTTCAAAGAATACACTTCATAAACAGATGTCCTTTACTGTATCATAAAAGGAATTGCCATTCAGAAGCTTGAATTCATTTTGCTTATTATTGTACTTTATCATAATTTACAAAACAAATGAATTCCTATATAAAAAGACTCTAGTCTAGCTGTTGTTTTACATGAATTTTGCAAAAGCTAGAATTACTATCCTTTGGTTGTGGATACAACGGGAGAAGACTAGTTATCTCTATAAATAAACCAAGAGAAACTTATAAAAGGTCGCTAAAGAGGTTAAGGTTTGAAAGTTTCTTTCAACATGCAGAAATGAGTTCGCATAAATAATATATATTCAGTCTTCTATCAAACAAGTCCTACGCCCCAAATGCTCAAAGTGACATTTGTTTCGCTACAATCATGTTCAAAGGAATTGAATTGTAATGTAAATGAGTTGCAACTATCTACGACAGTAACCACTGAGAGGAATAAATCATTCCTTCAAAATGCTCAATACAGTTTAGAAGGAGAGACCATTTCAAATTTTACCTAACTTCCCTACCATAAAAGAACAAAAATAAAATAAAGAATAAAATTTGGAGTGAGAAGATATTAAAAGAATGAAAGCAGGCAACAGAAAAATACCTTATATGCCGCATTAAGGAACTCCATCATTGCAGAAATTCCAGTGTTGAATCGTGTGCCCTCAATTTCCTCTGTTACCTGAATACTGAAATTAAATTCTTAGCTCAATTGTGTCAAATATGCAAATTAAATAAAATCAGAACAAGGAAACAACAAAGCTCTGATTAAAAATTGAGATGTTGACCTTGGCAATGCATTTGTGAAGACAGCGAAGTTGTTCTAGAGTAGGCTCCTCGTCAACTGATACAGTTCCATCCTTAAATGTTCCATCAGACAAAGGTGAACCAACAATGAGCCTCCAAGTTCTTCCCAAGAACCGATGTACACCTTCAATGCCACTAGTACTCCATGTTTTCGAGTCTCTGGGAGCATGTAAAGAAAATAAAGGAGTAAATTGATCTGAGGTTAAAGTCCGTATCAGATCCACAACCCCATAGTCTCACCCTTTCCTCAACCCACCCCAAAGAAATGAAAAGATAAAAGGGAAAAACTACAGACATTGTTGACTAGCAATAAGGTTTGCAGTTCAAACCTACCTCAATGGTCCCATGAACATTTCATATAATCGAAGAGAATCTGCACCATACTCAGAAACAACATCATCTGGATTAACAACATTTCCCCTACTTTTACTCATTTTGTGAGCTCGAGCATGTAACCGTATGTTAGGATTTTCTTTCATGACAAAAGAATCCCCAGATTTCATGACCTACACTCAAGGAAAAAGAAAACAAATGCTTGTCAGGAGAAAAAACGTAAATCCAACACCTTATCTCTGGTAATAACAAATGCAATGAGAAGTGGAAAGTGGAACTTCATTGATAAACCTTTTCTGCAGGAATTATTTCTAGCTTACGTTCATTCAACAAGTCAGTTGAATCAGCAGACATTAGGTTTCCATCTTGATCTCTACAAGCCATATATTGAACCTGCCCCTCAAGCAATTAGAAACTTGCATTAGTTATTCTTTTCTACTTAATTTTCAGGCAGAGAGAATTGAAATTACCTCCCCAAGAATAATCCCCTGGTTTATAACACACTGGAAGGGCTCCTTGGTGGACACAACACCAATGTCAAAGAGAACCTGAGATATAAAACTCAAATTACATATGCAAAATATTGCAGCAACACTGACAGTACACTAAAGGGTATTTGAAGTCTTGTTTCATTTGAATCCCAAATTGGTCAATTTCCGGTACTTTTGCCAAATGTCATCAATTTTTTATCTAACTTCTAGAGGGATTATCGGATTTCCATTTATAAATACACCAATTACAACAAAAAATTTCTTTCCCCCATGTACTGTATAAACAAATATTAAAAAATTGTCAAACTGTGGTCTTACAGGATTTTACGTACACTAGTAATATATAACACTGTGCATACCCTGTCATTTTACAATAATGTAAAATGCAAACTTCAGTTTTAAGACTCGTCTAACACCATTTGTACTAGTAATCATAGTCTCGTAGATGTTTAATAGTAATACAATGGAGAAAGATTGACAAGAACATAGCTGTAACACATTAGAGTGAAGCAAATCACAAATCAACATGCCCTACTGTGACTGATAACATACAGACCTTGTGCCAGAATCTAGCATACAGTAAATGGAGAACTGCATGCTCAGCACCCCCAACATATACATCAACAGGGCCCCAATACCTGCAGAAGAAGAACAAGTTTAAAGCTGGGAAATTAAATTATCAAGAAATGGTGAAAGCAAAATATAAGAAACAAGCAGAGAATGGATAGTGAATGAAAAATAAAGACAACATTAACTGAAGCCATACCTTTCTTTAGCCTTACCAACCAATTCCTTGGAATTATGTGGGTCCATAAACCTCAAATAGTACCTAGAAGGATGAAGAAAATATGATATGCATGTGGATATAATTTTAATTTTCATCAGTACATCTGATGCATAAAAATCCTGAACCAAGACAAGTAAACTTGGCGGCCAAAACACTGTTTAGTGCTTGCTTACTAACATATTTAATACCACTAAAAATGCCTTACCAGCATGAACCAGCCCACTGTGGCATGGTATTTGTTTCCCGAGTAGCTTGTCTTCCTGATAAGCTATCAGCCGTCTTCACCTAAAACAGTGATACAACCAAAGGAAGAAAAAAGAATAAGTTAGAGTATAGTTTATTCTTGATTTAAACAACTCTCTAAACAGTTGACAGTCTCTTAGTTTGTTAGACTTAGACAGCTTAAGGACAGGAGTCAGCTATAAGCAGCTGAACTCTTCTATTAGAAGTGACTTTCAGAAATACATTCTCAAATCTCATTCTATATTTCCTCTTCGAATTCTCTATTATGATATTTAGATCTAGGTTTGAACCCTAGAGCTTTTTTCTCGAACATTTTTTTTCGCTGTAATTGCATTTTGCACACAGATTGGCTAATTCTCTTGGTAACTTTGTTTTTCAATTTCTCTTGTGATCCTTCTTTGAGCATTAAAAGATGTGTCAAGAGTGTGTTACTAACACTCCTAATCTAAGTAATATAAATTATGTACTTAGTTATGCAACAAAATGATTTAGTACTGACCCTTCTGTTTCCTTTTAAATCTACCACAAAATTCGTGTGGCTTACACATTAAGAAATATAAGAAAAAAAATCAGGCAATATTTTCCTGCTCAATTCTATTTCTTTCACATATAAGACAAGTTCATATACGAAGGGATTTATTTAGACATTGAAAATGACTAATAGTGGGACCATAAGTAGCTATTTGTGTGACAATAAATCAGTGTTGTTAGATAGAGGAGATGGTGGTGCCATGGCAAATAACGGTGGGCAATTTTTCAATAAAACCATATCATGGTGATGGCGTGGGAGTTCTAAAGGGTGTTTACCATATTTTCTAGGAATCTGGAAAGGGTACAATGCCTGTATGCCACCAATGAAGTATATGTACATTATAGGGGCTAAGTAACAACAAATCCAACCTAGACCACAAAATTAAGACACTGCTTATTGATTGCAATTTAAGAAGAAAAGCATTTATTGTTGTAAACTTACCCAAGATACTGCCTTAGACAGAGGAGGCTCGCCTGTTCCAGTGGGAGAAAAATCATCCAATTCAGGTAGAATAAGTGGCAGTTCAGTCTCATACAGTGGGACAGTCTCACCACTATCATCCATGAAGATAACAGGGATAGGTTCACCCCAGTAACGTTGCCTAGCAAAAAGCCAGTCCCTTAACTTGTAGTTCACCTTAAGGATGAAAAATGTATTTTATTTTAAATAATACAAACCACAAAGAAAGAATTTCAGTAACAGTACAAAGATTAGTGTAATTTGATTCATTTAAGATATGCACCTTTCTCTTTCCCTTCCCACTTTTTTCAGCCCATTCAATGACTGTCAGAGCAGCTTCTTTGCTGGACAAGCCATTGATGTCAAGCCCAACTAGTGTATTCGATGAATTTACAATAATGCCTTCACCGTTAAAAGCCTTTCCAAAATCAACACTTTTACCATCTGGCGTTACAACCCAGCAAATTGGAACATCATATTTCTGAGCAAAATCATAATCACGAGAATCATGAGCAGGCACAGCCATGATAGCTCCTGTTCCATAACTGCACCAATAGCAACAATTATAATCTGGTCTTGAACATTTTAAAAATTCATCTATCATCCCACACCCTAGATCTTATGCCCACGGCATGTTTAGCAATAAATAAAAACAATTTGCATTCAAAGTGATACTTGTGCACACCCACCCCCCTAAAACATAGTCCGCGACCCATATTGGAATGGCTTCCCCATTTGCTGGATTTTTTGCATAACAGCCAGTGAAGACCCCAGTCTTTTCTTTCTGAAGTTCAGTCCTCTCAAGGTCACTCTTCCTTGTGGCAAGGTCTACATAATCCTCAACCTGTGAATAAAAAACACACTAAGAATAATCATCTCATCACCCATGATTAAAATCCTTCCAATGAAACAGGCAATAAAACAGAACAACTTGCATGTTTGCTCTGGGCAATGGAAACCAATGACGGCAGCAAGGGATGCTCTGGTGCCACAACTAAGTAGCTGAACATAAACAAAGCAAACAGGAAAAAGATATAGAATTTCTTTCAGGATCAGTTTGTCTGATTCATAAAATTTATTGAATATACTAGAAAATTGAATAGATAAATACGTTGCACCAAAGATCGTTTCAGGCCTTGTAGTATACACAATAATTTTTATGTCTCTATCCTTTCCATCACTGTCAAGAATGCAAAATTCCATCTCAGCCCCTTCTGATCTCCCAATCCAATTTCTCTGCATTTCTTTTACACTTTCGGGCCAGTCAAGGTCATCTAAATCCTCTAGAAGACGATCAGCATATGCAGTAATCTTGAGCATCCATTGCCTCATTGGCTGCTTGGTAATAAACAATGACACTGTAAAGATTATGAAACCATTCAAAAATATAAGAGGAAAACCACCCAAAGTGTTAAGTTCTGAAAGAAATAAACATGCAAACCACTATACCTTTCTTATTACAGGATGACCACCACGTTCACTGACACCATCAATTACCTCCTCGTTGGCCAACACAGTGCCAAGTGCGGCACACCAATTAACCGGAACTTCAGCCTGATTGTTTTATAGGAATTACCGGAAGATCTTCAATACTCTTAACTTAAATAAACTAAGCCAAAACTTCAAAGTAGTTATCATATACTAAACCTGATATGCCAATCCTCTCTTTAAAAGTTGCAGAAATATCCATTGAGTCCATTTGTAATAGTCAGGTTCTATGGTAGAGATTTCACGATCCCAGTCATACGAAAATCCTAATGATTTTAACTGCAAAGATGTAAGAAGACCTAACATGAAGGGGAAACGTGCAATTTTAGGACTAGAGATGATGACTATGAGAACGAAATCATGGAAACACTTCTCTTTTCACATTCCAAATTACAGGAAGCTTTTATTCTTAAATCAAGTGGAGGCCATTCAAATTACTTCCCAAAGATTTAAATCATTAATCAAATGAGTTACATATTGTATGATCTGAATATGATTCAAACAAAGGTGTTGAGGTTGTTTTGAAACTGAAACTTATCTAGCAAACTAATGCCACAATTGTTCAGATCCTTTTCAATACAGCTTTTCAATGAATTACTCACTCTTGCAACTTAAAATAGTCAATCTAAAACAAAGAACTTCAAACGAATAAAAATTAGGCGCTAAGTCCCAAAGAACACTCTTTCCGGCTCAAAATCAGCAGCAAATTATGTAACAAAAGAATTCCCAAATAATTTAATTTTTATCCACTATCAGTTAAAATTTTCACTGTAACCCATTACAAATCATCACAGGCATGTTTTTAAAAGAGGATGCTAAAAAGATTAACAATCTTATCAAGCATGGAAATAAATAATTGGATGAAATTGTAAAAAGTGATTAAATTATCTTAAATCATTCAATAATTTAACGAGAATCACTGGCCTTGGTTACAGTTAAAGCATCTTATCAGCAGTTTACCTGAGTGCGAAAGCGATTGATATTCCTCACCGTAGTGAGCTTGGGGTGAGTTCCTGTCTGAAGCACACGCCAGCACATTAGTAAAGAAACATACACAAGTCAAAGTGTAGAAGTGAGAACCAAGAAACAGACCTCAATAGCATATTGTTCTGCTGGCAATCCAAAAGCGTCCCAACCCATCGGATGCAACACATTATACCCCTGCATCCGTTTGTATCTAGCAAGAATGTCTGTGGCGGTATATCCAAGAGGATGACCAACATGAAGTCCAGCTCCACTGCAAAAAATAGTAATTACGAATATTCAAATCGCAATTCAAAAGAATCAGAAACTTCAAGCGCGAAGCAACTAAGATTGAAAACCTAGGGTAAGGAAACATGTCAAGAACGTAGTATTTAGGCTTCGTAGTGTCGATATCGTCATCGGGGGTTCGGAAAGTGCGATTGTGCTCCCAGAAACGCTGCCACTTGGGCTCAATTTCGTGGAAAGGGTAGGCCCGGTTTACCGGTTGCTTCTGATGCTCCGTTCCGCCATCGGCGACGGAGTTTGAGATGCTGGCGCGGCCACGATTGCGAAACCTGAGAGAAGAAGAACCTCTTCTGATGGAAGTAACGGGGAATCTTGGAGAGTGAGAGGTGGTGGTTCTGGATGGGAAGGGAAACGACACCGTATGAGAGTGTGGCGAAAGAAAGAGGAAATAAGGTTGAAGCTGATGAGTGTGGAGCATTTGGAAGAGTAGAATGAACTGCGATGGAAGAGAAAGATTGGTGGAGAGAATTGGGATAACGTCCAGAGTGAAGATGGCGCTCAAAACTCAACAGTAACTCTATTTCTTGTACTTTTCCCATTGGGCTCGTAGCTATACCGCGGACGTTATATCTCTTTTTCTTCTTTCTGCACACCCAAAATCAATAAATTATAAATAAATTATCTGTACACTCTTTTTTTTTTGTGTTGAATTCGGAAATAAATTACACAATATCAAACACAAAGTAAACAAAAATATATTTTGGATTGGGTGTTTCCAAATTTAGAAATACATTCCAAAATAATTAGTCTAAAATACATTTTCTTTTATATTTTACAAAGTAAACAAAAATACATTCCAAAATAATCCATCTAAAATACATTTTCTTTTACATTTTGGATTAGGTATACTCGAAAATTATTTTCAGAAAATTTATTCTTATTAAAAACATATTCCAGAATATTCTACATTGTATGGTTTGAAGAGGTTCAATATATATCAAAATCAAATTTGCTTTTAACACGCATAGGATGTATTTTCAATACTTGAGGTTTAATTTAATTTATTTTTTCTTTCAATCCATCGTATCTAAAAGTTTATCTAATCTCACGTGGGTGATTGAGTTAACCTTAAATTCATTATGTAATATAATATTAAAGTTACAAGAGTCTATTGAAAATTTAGATATATGATATCACTCATTATGGAATCTCCTCAATTTTTACACTTATAGGAAATTTACTGAGAATATCACATCAACTAAAGAAAACTAACTTATACTAAAATATCATTAAAAAAAAAGCTAAAATAATTTTTTAAAAATGCTCATAAAATATGTCATTCATTAAATTTTTAAATGTTGCAGGAATGTTACTCAATCCAAATGGTAAGACTACCCATTCATAGTGACCACTATGAATTCGAAAGGTTGTCTTATGGATATCTATTTTAACTATGCAAACCTGATTATATCCACTACGCAAATTCAATTTAGAGAAATATGTTACACCAAGCAATTCATCCAATAAATCTTCAATTAGAGGAATAAGACATTTGTTTTTAATGGTTAAAGCATTTAACTTATGAAAATCAGTACAAGATCTCCATTGAGCCATCCTTTTTTTTTCTACTAATACCATAGGTGAAGCATAAAACTCTCACTTTCTCGAATAAACCCCATAGCCAGTAACGCTGTGGCCAAGTGTTCAATTTCCTCTTGTTTCAAACAAATTGGTTTATCAAAAACGGGTTAAATTAGGAGGGCCCGTCAAAAAAAATAGACCATAAATTATAATTCGAATATGGCGGGCCGACAGATTCTCGGACTAACCCGTCATTTTTTTCAATTTTTATTTTATTTTTTTAAAATTTCGTTTTTAAAATTTATTTGTATTTATATTTATAAATAAATATTTAAAGAATATGTAGTCATATAAATATTCATTAAACTTTTAATTAATTAATTAATATTTTTAACTGAATAAATTAAAAATAATTATTACATGTTAAATTATTAGATATTAATTTGAGAGTGTTAAGAAATCAAATTATAATAATATTGTATATTTTCATTTTTTAAAAATGTAATATAAAAAATTTAATTATTTTAATTTTAATTTTAAATTAAAAAATAATAAAAACAAAATGGATCCGTGGATCAGGATCAGACTAGCTTGGTTTTGATTTATTAATTTGACAAGCTAGGTGGGACGGACCAAAAGACCAACGAATTGAAAATTCCATTCCAACCCATCCGATTTTGATGGACAGACAGGTTAGCTGCGGACCACCACCTACTTTAACACCCTACATGAACCACTGCATTCCTAGAAGAATAACTCCAAAAGAAGTGTTAGGTAATACCAAAAACTCAGCGTGAAAGACATGGCTATTAAACTGCCACACCACCTGAGAGCAATTGCGACGAGAGGCCACCATAACAGGAAAATCTGATAGTAGAAGTGCCACTAAATAGTTGTAGAAACCATCTGTCAGTCGTTTATTTTTAACAACCTTATTATTTAGTTGTTGGTCAAAACCAGCCTTATTATCGGAATAAATGTACAAGCTCACAAAAAGGCCCAACTATAATCACAAAGGTTGCTAGATAAATGACAGTCTACTTGAATTTTCTTCGCCAATGAATGCGATAACTTTCATTAGTCCTTTTTTATTCCTCTGGTCATTATTATCTGTTTACAAAACTGAGAATTGTCATCTAAAATGTAAGACAAAAGTTCCTGCATTATTACCAAAACAGGAAACACTCAATTCTCATCTAACATGTAACTCTGACAAAAAAAGAAGTTCCTACATTATTACCAAAATGGGAAACACTGAATTGGGAGTGGCTTTAGCTCTCCAATAAAGAATTCTAACTTCACAATTTTCTATCTAGACTATAACTCTGCAATGAACATTCGGACTTAACAATTTCTATCTGGACACTTAATATACACAAGAGTATCAGCAACCAAGGAAAAATGAAGTACGAAAGCAGCCTTCAGCCAGTCATGAAAACTTTAGTAAAGCTTTAAGGTCTGTGACAGCTTCATCAATGGCATAAACTATCATCTTCTTTATCTGTTCAAAATCAACATATAAACCTGCTACTTATTTTGACGCAGACATCATAAAAGAGGCAGAATGAAATACAATGTAGAAGCAAATTACCTCAAGCTTATCTTCTCTAGCCTTGTGGTTCTTGGGAAGCTGGCGAAACTCATTAGTTAAACGCAGACACTCATGGATGTTTTCCGGAGACACAAAGTCTACCGCAACTTTTGTGCATGACTGTCAAAGGTTTGACATAGGACGATTAGAGCAACAGAAACAACTAAGTTATTTCAGAAAATTAGTCGAAGATGTGTCTAGATATTTTACCTTGAGATTCCTGACTTGATGTGGGCATCCAGCAGGAATAAAGACAGCCTCCCCAAGTTTTTGCTCAAAAGTCCACGGTTCTACACCTAAAAGTCAAGATTCCCATAAGTAACCGATTACAGGAATTGAGAAAATATTGTATGCAATTTCTTTGTACTAACCGAACTCCTCCTTCAGCTTCTTCTTGTGCTCCCATGTCAAATAGAAACATTGGTCATGAATTGGATGTTCAACCTATTTGAGCATCAGGCATAAGAGATTAAGGTTTGACCATCAGGCATAAAAGAATAAGGATAAGCGGAAATGTAAAGTGTTACAATTTTTATACCTGTTCAACTGGAGAACAATAAGTATGTCTAAATTCTTTTGAGTGTTTCCTGAGATATGATTCTAACTTCTTAGAATCTTCTCTTCGAAAGATATCCCATAGAGCACTGCCTGTTTCCGTTGATTCATTCTCTATAGCAGAAGCGACCTCTTCATGTACATCCTTTGTAAATATCCTTCCATTAATTTCAATAGGACGCTTCTCTATGTCATTGGATTCTAAAACTACCTTGTTTTCTATCCGTACTTTGTTCTCTTTGAAAGTTCGGCAGTTCAGGCTGTTGGTAACCCTTTCTTCAGCACGCTGCTCTCTCTCATCTTGTACCTTGTGTGCTTCTTTCAACTTTGAAATAATTAAGTGCTGCTCATCAGTTAACATCACCTCTGCTGTATGCGTTAAAATATTGACCTATGACAATTACCAAACAAGAAATTAGACCAAGAAATAAGCCAATATGCTTCCATTTGAAACCAGTGACATAATAAATAGGGGACAGTATTATAATCTCAACTTCTACAAACAAACAATGAGAATTCTTATTGAAACTGAGTTTCCAATCCAATGTACAAACCAAAATGTGAGTTCTCATAAAGAAAGAAGAGTATGCATGTATAAGTGTGTGTGTGTGTGTCTGTGAAGAAAATTCAGATGAAAGAAATTTGACCGACCACTGCTTAAGCAACAAACAAATCACAGACTATGGAAGCTTGATGCATACCGCATCTGACATATCACAGTGAAGCTTTGTTACAGAGTCTCCTCTACCAAGCTCTTCTTTGATCCCATAGGCAATATAAGTTTTCGGACCCATGTCAGGTTTTATGACATGGGCTGGCAACTTCGCAGCAAGATTGAGAATTCCGCTCCGAGGATCACTGTACTCTTGGAATGGCAATGAGCGAATAAACTCATCACAGTGGCGGGGCAAAAGATCTTCAAATTTATCAGAGGGGGGCCAGTCTTTTAGCTTCAGCATCTCTGGCCAGAGATTTCTGTATGTTCTTCCCTCGATATAACCTTTGAAAAATGTGCGAGTATCGATTTCTACCTGCACAAATTTAGAAGGGTGAATACAAATATAATATAGTATGTTGCACGAGATACAAGCTAAAAATATTACACTTGGAATTTAGAAGATGGAAAACTAAGATGGCAATTGAAGCTCTGCAATATGAGGAAACTAGACCTGAACTGACCTCACAATTAGCCAGGCAATCAATGGCTTTCACTTCTGACATTTTTGAACTGACCTCTGAAGCCCTATTTTCACACAATGCTCGCCACATTACCATCGGCTTCCAACTCAGACCGGTCCCCAGTTTAACGGCATCACGAACTATAATTGGTTCGCCATTAGCCCAATGCTTTTGGAAAAGCAACAACTCTCCCTTTTGAATGCTACTTGACTCTGAACAGTACATATTATTGCCATTTATGTCTTCTTTCATAGCTTCCTTTCTCAAAGAGGTGTAGCTTGATGCTGCTTTTTCTAGCTTACGAGTTGTGTTTTCATCTTCCCAAATTTTCAGCGTCCTGCGAGCTTTGATTTCCAATTCAGATATCCAGCCACTTGGTAGGACACGTCTCAGCTCCAATGCAGCACTGCCACAACCCCCCAACTCCTTTGGTGCACATCGGATGATTCCATCACTCTTAGCATTCCACACATTAGATAGCTTGGTTTGACATTCTGATGTCCTGAAATCATTAGACACAGGTAGAGGGTCTCCACCATGCATATAATCATAGCCCCTATTCACATATGAGAACTTCTGCTCCACCCGGGGTGTAATTCTTCCATCACGTATTTCTTGGCAACAACTGAGGCAGAGTTCATAGGAACATCTGGGGCAGCTTCTATGAAGATCAATAATTGAAGTAGCACAATGATCACTGTTCCATGAAAAAAGTAAATAAAACATGAGATATTATAAAACTTTTAAAGAATCAAACTAGTATCTTGAGAAAGAGGGCACCTACCAATAGACACGTTCATCGTTGCCACAAAGACTTCGAGGTATTTCCTTCTCAAAAGAAGGTTTTCCTGACAAAAGAGTTTAGCGTTGGTGATTTTTTTCAATGTGATAACGCAAAACTTAAAAGGTGGAGATTAAAACCTAGTATTTTAGCTTCAATCTGCTCCTCTTGACTTTGTTCATGACAAATTTGTTTCAAAAATGGTAGGAGTAAGTTGATCATATAATGCAGATACTGAGCTTTTTCATAATCAGTTATGTCCCTGTTAGATGTCTGAAAGTAGATACAAAAAGAAATTGAAAAATTACCAGTGCAGATACAACTATAACATACGAACATTTTTTCATCATAGAAATTAATTTAGGGTAGATATCAGAACAAATCAAACCTTAATCATTCCTCTTGCGCGCAAGCAAACATTGCAATTGCAGTTTTTCTGGCAAAACGGGCAACTTGCAGCAATTTCTTCTATTGTCATATCAGAGTACCTGTGTGTAATAGTCACAGACAGCACTATTTAGTTATGATAAATCCTAAACTACACAAACAAGCACATAATCCTTCAGAATAATTGATTAATTAAATGGCATACCATTTATCCAAACACTGCATACAGTACATTTTCGGGCATTTAGTACAAGGCACAAAAAGTGTTCTCTCCTTTTTCATGCATTGATGACAGATTCGGGGCTTTTGTTCAACATCCTGTTCAAGACAATCTGTTAGCATTATTGAAATATGATGTATTACACAATCTCTTTAAGGTGATGAGAAAGATGGACACCTTCACATTATTCATTCTTCTCAATCTGCTCCTGGTCTTTGATCTTAAGATAACAAGCATTTCTTCATCTTCTAAATCATCACTCGAGAAATCATCTTTATATTTCCTTTTATTGTTTGAGACAGTAAGCTTTTGTTTCTCATCTCTTCTCTTGCATGGTAGTTTTCTTGTCCTCGGTAAACAGGAATCTTCTTTGGCATCTAACTTTGGTTTTATATTATCAAACATATAGCTTTCTCGAACCTTTCTCTTCTTTTTAGTCACCCTTACTGCACAATTCTTCTTTAAACACATCTCACCTTCTTTCCCTTTCAGTTCGGATTTCTTATCACCATTTTCAGACATTTCTTCAGCTTTTCTCTTCGATTTTCTGTAAACTTTCGAGCATCTGGACAATGCCAGCTTATCCTCAGCTTGCGAAGTTTTTGAGCGTTCTCTTCTTGGGACAACAACATCCATTGTTACTGCAAAATGAAAATTGAAAATACAATCAAATAATTACAAAAATTTAATAGATTATCGTTCATCTGAGCACTAGCATTCCAATCTTTCATAGAGTCTGAACAACAAGTATCGTCAGAATAGAACACCAATTCCTATTCCTATATCTGCACACACAGCCAGCACAAATTGCAAGCACCTTCATACACAGAGCAAAGGAAGCTGTGAATCAAAGAAACCACAATATAAATTCGATGACCATAACGAATCAGCAAGGTAGCAGTTTCTTCTGATACGTTGGACTCTATAAAGAAAACAAGACAAACGGACTAACAATGTAACAAATTTCTTCTTAATAAATATATCCCGTTATGAATTCCAGAAAAGAATTGAATACATGTTTTCAGAAGGGAAAATACCTCTCCAGACAACATTTAAAGTCAAACCCAATGTAGCTGACCTGAGTCAACCCGACAACATCGATTGCTCCCAAAGCATCATCAAACAAACCAGAGTTCCAATTGCATTCAAGAAATGGAGACCAAAACGAAATCAAGATTAACAACCAAAACACTCTGAGTGTACGAGGAATGACGCAGAAAAAAATTACAAAAAAAAACATAAACACACACACAGATTTTCAAAATCCATACATACACCACATACAAATTCAATCGAATGAAACAAACCTGATAACGAATCTAATTAGGTGAAAAATCGATAGAAGCATAACACTCTGCTGCAATCAGAATTGAGAAAGCGAACCAATGCGGCACGATATCTGAAACCAAAATCTGCGAGAAAAACAAAATGAATAGATAGATTCTGATGATGATGACAATATGATGTCGTGAGAAAAACATGAGACTCAGAGCTTTAGTTAAAATTGAAAGTAGTCAGCAATGAAACACACCTGTATCAGAAACTAGAGACAAAAATTTAGTTATTTTTCTATATATATTGGGTTGTGCAATTTAGGATTGTCAATGACGGTCCTAGCTACCAATGATATTTAAGCACGTGGATCTGAAACCTTTCAGATCCTTCGTCCTTTCCCTGAATAAGATACGCATGCATTCGGAGAAAGGAAAGTGGTTTAACCAATTAGATGCGAAGATAACTTTGGGATTCTATAATATATATTATATAAAATATATTTTGATCTCAAATGATTTACAATTGATGGATGGGATGGGATGTGAAAAGCCGCCTTACTGCTTCTGTAACTGTTATTTTAGATTTTTTTTAACATGTTATTAGTGAAAAACCCCACGTGTTTTTATTCTATGATAAAAAATAAAATAAAATTATAATTATAAAAATAAATGTAAATAATTTTTACAACAAAAAATATTTTTTTACTTGTTTTAGAGGTATATTTTAAAAGTATTTAAATTTTAAAATAAAATAATTAAATTTTAAAAAATAGAACTTAAAATATGACATTAGTAAAATAATTATTTTAATTTTAAAAAGTTATTTATTAAGAATAAAATTGAAAAACAAAATATTTATACTAAAAAAGGTGAATCTTTCTATATAATGATATAAATAAATATCAACCGTTAGACTAGTATTATTTATAGCATATAACTATAAATCAAATATATTTGTTTTGATAAGTGACATTTTGAGTGATACAAATACATATTATATATATATATATA